GTTCCTCATGGACGAGCGGGGTGGGCTTGGTCGCGCGGTGCAAGTGCGCTGGGTCCCTGCTCATCGCACGAGGAGGCAGGTCACCGACGGCGTCATCACCTACCGCGACTGGGTGGGCAACGGGTGTGCGGATCTGGCCGCCACGGCAGCGGCGTACCAGGGCCGGGCGCCTGCAGAGGATAAGGCTATCCTCATCTCAGAGCGCAAGCAGGTCGAGCTGGTGGCCATGTGGTGCACGGCAGTGGGCACGTGGCTTGACGACCGTGACACCGCCCACGGCAAGGAGAGGCAGCAGCGCGCCATGCAGGCTCGACGGGCGCCCGCTGCGAGGGTGCCTCGCGCATGGCGAGGCCGGCCAGGACAGCCCAGATGGTGCGAGGTGTGCAAGTGGACGGAGGGGGTCGGAGAGCGCCCTGGCGACGTCGTCGACGACGCGAGGCGGGCCAACGAGGCGCTGAAGCAGCGGAGCCTGGCTTCCCACGACCTGGTCGTGATGCTCCCCGTGGACGCTGCGCTGCTCGAGCGGCGTCTTCCGCGGGTTCACGGGCGCCGCGCGGGAGAGCAGCTTCAGCCCGGGGTGCAGGTTCCCGCCCTCGGACGCAGGCGGCGCTGTGATCGGCCGCTTGCAGCAGGGTCTCGCGCCGAAGATCGCGGGCTTGGTGGCGGTCACGGTGCAGTGGCTCGACGGCCACTCGTGAGCTGCTGGAGAGGCGGCCAGTGGAGATAGAGGCGACCAGGCCGACGTCGAGCGTGGTGCAGAAGAGGAGAAGGGGGGAAGTGCCGCCAGTGCGGCGCCCCCTGGGGCTGTCGCCGCGGCCCGAGGGGCCCGCGGCGATGGCGAGGAGAGAGGGCATGGCTACCTCAGTGGCCAGGAGGCCCTGGTGAGGCAAGGATCAAACCTCGAGGCAAGTTCGAGGGGCAGGGGGGCAGGGCGAGGACTGCCCGCGCCTGCCAGGGGTGGTGGTATGGGGCAGGGGGGGGGGAGAGGGGGGGGGGGGGCGGCCGCCGCCCGCGCCCCCGCGGTCCGCCCTAGCGCGCCACCCCCGCCATCCCCATTGCGGAGGAGGTGCTCACCTGTGCGCCACCCTGGCGGAGCGAAGGACAGAGGTGCGCGCGCCGATGGCCAAGGTGGTGCCGGCCCGAAGGAGGAGGACAAGGTGAGGGGGGGAGTGCTTGCAATACGGCGCCCCCAAAATCTGCGCGCAGCGCCAACAGTTCGTGTTTGTGGCGTCTTCTCTCTTACGAGGACCTGCTATCGAGTCCTCGAACCTCCGTCCTCCTCCCTTCTCGATCTCATGCCCCTCGTCCTCCTCCGCTGTCGCCCGCCTCCCTCCCCTCCCCCGCAGCCAGGAGGAGGAGGAGGAGGAGGAGGAGGAGGAGGAGGAGGAGGAGGAGGAGGAGGAGGAGGAGGAGGAGGAGGAGGTAGAGGAGGAGGTAGAGGAGGAGGAGGAGGAGGAGGAGGAGGAGGAGGAGGAGGAGGAGGAGGAGGAAACCTCCCTCTCGTCCTCCCCCCCCTCCCAGCGAGGACCGCGGCCAGAGAGCGCGGCGGCCGGCGCGCGGCGGCCAGAGCTCCGCTCGCCGATCGCTCGCCGCCCTTCCGCGCCCCCCGCGCGCCCGGGCGGCGGCGCCGCAGCCCCCCAAAGCAAAGCGGCCTTGCCGGGGAGGGGCGCCGCGGCCGTGCCCCGCCTCTGCCATCCCTGCTGGTCCTCCTCCGGCCTTCCCCCCCCCGGCTTTCCTCCTCCTGCGCCCTCTTCTTCCTCCGCCGCCTCCCCTCCCCCCCCTCCCCTCCCCTCCCTCCCTCCCTCCCGCCATTTCCTCAGCTTCCTCCCCTCCCTCCCCCCCTCCCCTTCCTCTCTCCTTCCCTCCTCCCCTTCCTCCCGCCTCCTCTTCCTCCTCCTCCTCCTTCCCTTTCCTCCTCCTCCTCCTCCTCCTCCTCCCTTTCTCCTCTTTCTCCCCCTCCCTCCCCCCTCCTCCTCCCCAGGGCGGCGAGCTCCTACCCCGACGGCGGGGGGGGAGGGAGAGGAAGGGAGAGGGAGGTGGGGGGAGAAAAGCTGGGTGCGCTCGCGACATGTCTGGCACCCTGCTCCTCCCGCCAGTCCTTTCCCGTGGCTCTCAGCTTTTCTCTCTACCCGCCGACGCGCGTCATAGCGGTCCTGAAACTCCAAAGAGGATCCCCATCGTATTATGCGCAGTCGGAAACAAGTGGGACCTGCGTACATTGGAGGGGGAGGTGGCGGATGAGCAGGAGAGTGAGCAGGAGGAACACGAGGAAGGAGGAGGAGGAGGAGGAGGAGGAGGAGGAGGAGGAGGAAGAGGAGGAGGACCAGTGTAAACCCAAGAATCATCGACGATGTTGGAATTATCCCTCCGTCCAAGCTCTCTTTTCATAGGCCCCTACGACGGTTCATTTCCACTGAGGGAACTGACTCGTTGGAAGCCAACCGTTTGGAAACCTTGAATAATGCCAGAACATTGTTCTCGGGATTTCCACGCCACGGATCAACATGACTGCTGCGTCCTGACGATGTGGAATCGTACCATAACGCCATTTGTGCGACTTCAACACCGCGAACCAATCTAACTGTTGCACCCGCATGTTCTTGAATCCTTCCACAACACAATTTCTGGTACGTTGATCATGGGAAGCCGTGGAACTCTACATTAAAAAAAACGAGTGTGCGCGGCGCTAGGGCGATGACCACATCTCGAGGAGGAGCCGCCTCCCATCCGTGCAACTCTTGCGACAATTTAAGACGAATGCTCGTGGCGTTAAGGAGAACACCGCATTTTGAAAACAACGTGAAACTTTTGCAATTGTTAAAAACGAATGTGCGCAACACTAAAGCGAGAACCACATGTTGAAAACCACTCACCCTCAATCCGCAAAGCTCTTGCGATTGTTTAACACGAGTGTGCGCGGCACTAAAGCGAGAACCACATTTTGAAAACCACCCGCCCTCAATCCGTGAAGCTCTTGATGTTTTGTAACGAATGTGCGCGGCGCTGAGGCGAGAGCCACAGATTGAAAACCACCCGCCCTCCATCTGCGAAGCTGTTGCCATATTTTAAGGAAACGCTCGGCCCGCCTTACAAACTGGCCTCGGGGTGCGACAAGGAGAAGTTACATACGGAAAGGGAAAGGAGGAGGAAGAGGAGGAGGAGGAGGGAGGAGGAGGAAGAGGAGGAGGAGTGAGGAGGAGGAGGAGGAGGAACAGCAGCAACAACAGCATGAGCTGGAGTGAAGGGGGGAACACGTGGGTGGAGCAGGAGGACCAGTGGAAGTCGGGGGACGGGAAAGGAGAGAGGAGACAATGAGGAGGAAGGACTCATATCCTCAAAAGTGGCCCGCGCTGGAACGATAACGCCATTCGGAACGACGAGGAAAAACGCCGCTCGGGAAACTGAAACACGCGCTGCAGCGGTAACATCATTATAGGAACTACCGAGTTCTGACATTCTTTCTATGGAACGAGAATACACAAAGAGAGGACGGAACGCATTCTGGTCAGAGTCCAGGGGGAGTATCATTCACACTGAGTATGCGAGTATGTGCGTGTGTGTGTGTGTGTGTGTGTGTGTGTGTGTGTGTGTGTGTGTGTGTGTGCGCGTGCGTGTGTGTATATGTGTGTCTGTGTGTTGTGTGTGCGAGCGCGTGCGTGCGAGCGAGCGTGCGTGCGTGCGTGCGCGTGCGCGCGCGCGCGCGCGCGTGTGTGTGTGTGCGCGCGCGCATGCGTGCGAGCGAGCGAGCGAGCGAGCGAACGAGCGTGCGTGCGTGCGTGTGTGTGCGCGCGTGTGAGTGCGTGCGTGCGTGTGTGCGTGCGTGCTTGTGTGCTTGTGTGTGTGTGTATGGGGGAGGGGGAGGAAAGATGGGGGAAGTAGCGATGGGGGGGGGGGCAGCAGCAGCAGCAGCAACAGCAGCAAGGAGGGGGGAGCAGCAGCAGCAACGAACACACATTCGGGGGAGAAGGAGGAAGAGGAGGGGGGGAACAGGATCGATTGGAGGGGCATCAGCAGGGAGGGGGGAGCAGCAGCACCAGCAGCAACAACAAGGGGAAACATAGGGGGGAGGGAGAAGAAGCGGGGGGGAGTGACCTAGTTGGTCGACCCAGCCAGAAGAGACAATGTGATAACCTGACGTCGAGTTCTAGCTTATTGTGATGGATTTGACAATTCATTTTGAGAATTCGTATTTTTCCCCAGTGTAGTGGATCGTGAGACGTTCGCCTGTCAAAGTTTCAGGTTCGTAGCTACAGTCAATGGAGGGGAGGAACAACATGGATGACTACCACCACCTTCTGAACCCTATCACATCCTGTCTCATGGCACGGGACACCGTGTCGCCCTGCGCCGCGTGCGACTTGGGCGGAGGTGTGGGGAGGCATAGGGGAAGATGCTAAATGGAAGCAGGATCGCAACTGCAGCGCGGCGAGAACGGCTATCTCCTCTAACCCCAGGGATACTCCGTACCACGGCCCCCACTAGCGCTCCCCCCCCCCCGCCCTCCTGGCGGAGCTCTTGAGGGTTTCGCTGGCTTGGGGTGGTCCCGCAGCCACTATCCATTATAATTACTTCGGGCTCGTGCGCCCGACGCCGCGATCCCTACAGCCGATTTCCTACTCCAACTTTACATGCAAAGGTATATGTGGACTCGTAAGCAATTTCTTAAACGGGGGGGTCTGCTCGATGGCAACAATCGCCACCGCACGACTAAAACGCAACATGTTCATAACACAAATAACGATAGCTGAACTCTCCCCTGTCTGCATCAAAGAACATATATGCTTTTGAATTGGCTGGAGCCAGCGCTGTCTTGGTTCGTGCACGCCTTTGTTTCCGAGCGAACCTAAATGGCGCCTGCGTCGTCGGACCCAGAACGGATACGGACGTGACAATGAAAATGGCAATAGCGCGTGCCAATGTCAGCAGACCGCTGGAGGAGCACCAGTCACGGACTTCTGATGCTTGCGAGGACGCCCGACGCTACAATGAAGATTCTCTTTTCTGGGAGCTCGCTGCAATGGAACAACAAGGATGATGGCAAGGATCGGCGACGATGATGAGAGGGTCGACGGTGGTCCCCCATCGGCGCTCCGAAAGCTTCGCGGCGACGCGATGCGGGGCTCGGGATTCCATGGGGCCTATGCGCAATGGCGCAGGATTTTACACACTCTCGTTTTTTTACGTCGGGATTTGGCGGTACGCCGCTGTCAGCGTGCCTCTGGGCACGGAGTGGGCGTGTCCTCAGGTCCTTTGCCTAATCCCTGGAAGCTCAATCCTCAATTCTGAGTTGTCTTCAGGGGCCCGGACCCCGAATCCCGAAATCTTATGGGGCTTCCCGAGTGCCCGCTGGGCTGTGCCAAGTGGTGGCGTGAGAATTTTTTCGGGCTCAAGAAGGCCCCAAGACGGGCCAAGAGGGCCCCAAGAGGCCTGGAAGACGACCCCGAGTGGCCGAAAGATCGGCCCAAGGCGCCCAAGATGGCCCCCAGACGGCCCAAGAGGCTTCCAAGACGCCCCAAGAGGCCTCCAAGAGGACCCTCAATCAAGAGGGCCCAAAGAGGAACAAATCATTTGTTCTGTAGGTGTTCGAGAACTTTTTTGCGTTCTCGCCTTTTCGGCTTCCGACGCTCCAAGACGGCCCAAGAGACCCCCAAGACCACCCCAAAACGGCCCACCAGGCCTTCAAGAGGGCTCCAAGACTGCCAAAGGGCGCCCCAAAACGGCCCAAGAGGCGCCCAAGAACGCCCAAGAGGGCCCCATGACGGCCTCAAAAGGGGCCAAAGAGAAGGATCACGAACCGAAAATCCTAGCTTTCCGCCCCACGAGGCCCCCAGGAGGCCCCAAGAGGCTCCCAAGAGACCCCAAGGCGCCTCCCCCAGGCACCCAAGAGCCCCCAGAAGGCGCCCAAGGGGCCCCCAAAGACCCCCAAGAGGATCAAAAAGAGGCCCCGAGAGGCCCCAAAATTGTCCCCCCAAAGCCTCCAAACTGCCTCCAAGAGGCTCCTGAGAGGCCTCCCGCAAGATCCTAACGAACATCCAATAGGCTTCATACCCGCAACCGAGGCACGTTGGCGGGATGGGCCGAATGCTATTCGACAATATTCTCAACTGGGGACGACCCCGGGATCCTAGGCAAGCGCGTTCCACTACTCGCAAAGCAACTACTCGCAAATAGCCTGGATCCGCCGAGGGGGACTTGCGATCAAGTGCATCGAGGCAGACCTCTGTTTCTAGGGCTGTTTGTGAATAGGCACTTTGCGAGCAAGGGAACGCGCCCGGCGAGATCCATCGATCCCCGGCCGGCCCTTTTGCTAGGCTTCCAGAGGGGTGCCGGGGTGGGGCTGACTGCGGTGGCAGATCTCAGAAGGGCCTCTCCTCGCGCGCGCGAGCGCAGGGCCCTGCGCGCGCCCCGCAGCCCACGCCCACCATCCAACCCGAGTAGGAAAGCCGCTGCAATAACTCACTACGAGCTCGTGCTCCCGAGGCCGCACTCCCGTGTAGACCACAGCGCCCGCGCGCTCCCGAGGCCACAAGCCTGGCAAATGACGTCGCGTTCGCGCTCCCGAGGCCCAAATGCGAAGATACTTACAACACTTTCGCCTTTCGCGCTCCCGATGCCGCAATTCCCCGGAAATTACGCCGCGATCGCACTCCCGAGGCCCAAACGCATGGTGACTTATAAAACGTTCGCGTTCCCAATGCCGCAATCCTTGGCCGAGTACTGCAAATTCGCACTCCCGAGGCCACAACCCATGGTAATTTATAAAACTTTCGCGTTCCCAGTGCCGCCATCCTTGGCAGAGTACTGCAAATTCGCGCTCCCGAGGATAATAGGAACCCACTCCACGGAGGCTGCCCGGAACGCCCCCCTCCAGGGCAGAATAACACATGTTACTTTCTGTATCGAGATATGTGCTTGGAGGACGCTTTTCGCTCCCCCCCCCTCCCGCCGTTATTTCCGACAAATTCTGCCTTGGAGCTGAGGCTACGAATCCAGCAACATCCGCTGATCCGGCGTGCGAGTTTCTAACACGGCTGCAGTCTGAGCTTCAGCTCCGCTGGCGGGGGTGCTGGGGTGGCTCTTCTGGGGAATTTGACGAGAGCGTTCCACTACTCGCGAAGTAACTACTCGCAAATGGCCTGGATCCCCCGCGAAGGATCTACGATACGTTACATCGAGGCGAACGTGTTTTTCGGACGTCTGCGAGTATGCAGTTTGCGGGTAGTGGAACGCGCCCGGCGAGGAATGGCAGTGAAGGGGGGGGGTCTGCTGATGCAGCGGCCGCTCCCGCGCCGCAAGACGAAGGGTGCCAGGGCGGCTTGGCTGGGACGGCTTGGCAGGGGCAGGTTTTTCAATGCTTCTTGGGATTTTCGGGTTGCCGACGCTCCGAGACGGCCCAAGAGTCCCCCCAAGACCGCCCCAAAACAATCCAAAAAGGCTCCAAGACGGCCCAAGATGGCCCCGAAGCGGCCCAAGCTCCAGGACGGCCCAAAGAGGGGCCCAAGAAGGGGAACACAAACCGACGATCCGAGCCTTCCGCCCCAAAAGGCCCCCAGGAAGCCCCCCAGAGGCCCCCTAGAGGCCCCAAGGCCCCCCCCCGAACCCCCAATGTGCGCCCAAGAAGCCCAACAGAGGCCCCCGAGAAGTTTCCCACAAGATCCCAACGAATCTTCAAAAAACCTCTGACCCATAACCCAAGCACGGTGGGCGGAAGGGGTCAAGGCCACCGGATAAAAGAAGATAGAGGGGACGGGAATATCCAATATAAGATATCATACTGGAACCGGCGGTGAACCGTCAACCAGGTTACCGCCGGGCACCTCGTAGAGCTCCTTTCTTGCACAGCGCTCCTCCGAACACATGAAGGAAGCTTCTAAAGCGGGAGCCGAAAAACTCGAAAAAACACGATTTTTCGGTTTTCATCCAAAGTCAGTTCCGCCAAGTGTTTTGATAGTAATACTGCGCCTACGGACCACTACAGGTGCGAAAAATCGGGTTTCTCAAAATAAACGGTCAAATATCTTTCAAATCTTAACAAAACTGACCCAAAGTCATCACTTTGTCCTTTCTGGCCGGGTCGACCAACTAGCTCCACCCCGCGCCGGAATTCCTCTAGCTCATCGATGCCGAAGAGCTCTACGAGGAATTCCCGCCATGACCGCCCTCCTGATCATCTCTCTTTCCTCCTCGAGGTGAAGCTGACAAACTATTAAGCACAACGAACTCGCACGGAACGTGCAGGAACGTCCCGGATCGGCGGCACAGGCCGAAAGCCTCTACAATGGCTTGGGATGCGCGCTCCCGAAACCGCGAATTCGAGCTCCCGAGGCCACCATCTGTTGTCAATCCCACCAACCCTTTGGGCGTAGGTGGTCTAGGGTGTTTCCATTGTTGCCCCTCCTACTTCCCCTTCGGGGAGGGGTTCAACACTGTTCCCTATTATTACACACCCCCTCCCCCAGGCGACTGGGAGCCAACCGGGGTCAATGCGGGCACCCCCCCCGCCATCCTTTGTAACAGTCGATACAAAGTACACTCTGCCTCCAAATTCGGAGCATGCGCACCGAACCCGATGCGGCCTCCCCCCACCATCCCTGTCACAAAAACGATACAGACTACACTTGGCGGCGGCGGCGGCCGCGGCGGGGGCAGCGGCTGCGGCGGCTGCGGCGGTGACGGCGGCGGTGGCGGCGGCGGCGGCGGCGGCGGGGGCGGCGGCGGCGGCGGCGGCGCGGGGCAGCGGTGGCGGCAGTGGCTGCGGCGGCAACGGCTGCGGTGGCGGCGATTCAGCAGCGGGGGCGACGGCGGCGGCGGCGGCGGCCGGCGCGGCGGCGGCGCGGCGGCGGCGGCGGCGGGCGGCGCGGCGGCGGCGGCGGCGGACAGCGGCGGCGGCGGCTGCGCGCGGCGGCGCGGCGGCGGCGCGGCGGCGGATTCGCCCCCAGTAGCTGCCCATCCAAAGACGACTGCTGATATGCTGCGGTCGGGCCAGGCTCGGGTGCTACGTATGTGTTGGGAGGGCGGGTGGGAGTGAGCGAGACGGCTTGCGGGCGGGGAGGGGGTCTTGATCACTGATTAATAAACACCCCCTCCCCCAGGCGACTGGGGGCCAACCCGGTCCATGACCGACCCCCCCCCACATCCCTTGTAAAAACAATACAAACACACTCTGCCTCCAAATTCGGAACATGCGCAGCCAACCCGATGCGGCCCCCCCCCCCCCCCAACACCATCCCTGTCAAAAAACAATACAGAGTAGACTTGGCGGAGGCGGCGGCGGCTGCGGCGGCGGCTGCGGCGGCGGCGGCGGCGGCTGCGGCGGCTGCGGCGGCGGCGGCGGCGGCGGCGGCGGCGGTGGCGGTGGCGGCGGCGGTGGCGGTGGAGGTAGATGCAGCGGCTGCGGCGGCGGCGGCCGCGGCGGAGGCGGCGGTGGCGGCGGATTGGCCCCCAGTAGCTACCCATCCAAAAACGACTGCTGAATCTGCTGAGGCTCGGGCCAGACTCGGGTGCTACGTATGCGTTGGGAGGGCGGGTGGGAGTGAGCGGGGCGGCTTGCGGGCGGGGGGGGGTCTTGACCCATCCCCCATACCTTTTGGCCTCATTTTGGCCCCCTGAGGGGGGGGCTAATTTCGCCCCCCCCCCCTCCTGTGATCGATCTCCTCCAAGATGGCCCCAAGAGGCGCCCAGGAGGCCCCAAGAGGCCCCAACAAGCCCCCAATATTGCCCTATGTGGCACCAAAAGCCCACGAGGCCCCAAGAGACCCCCCAGAGGCACCCAAGACGCTCCAAGAGGCCTCGGCGAGAATGCCCAAATAATTCATTTTACAAAAGGTTTTGGCCACATTTGGGCCTCCTGGGGGGGCGCTGCTTCAGATGACTCCAAGAACGCCTGGGGGGGCCCAAGATGATCTCCAAGATGGCTCAAGATATCCCAAGATGCCGCAATATGGCTCCCACGATGCTCCAAGAGGCCCCAAGACCGCTTCAATGCGGCTCCAAGTGGCCAAACAGCTCACCCAGGATGCCCCGAAGAAGCCAAAATCATTCCAGAACCTCAGGCAGATCAATGGTTTGGGCTTTCTCGCCTTTTCGCTTCTGATGGCCATCCGAGGTTTCAAGATGACACCAAGATGGCCCAAGAGGGCCCGCTTCAAGCGGGCCCCAAGAGGCGCCCTTGAGGTCCCAACAAGCGCCCCAGATGCCTCCAAGAGGCCAGAGACTCCCAAGAGGCCCCAAGGAGCTCTCCGAGGCACCCCACGCTCTAAGAGGCGCCCGGGACCGCCAAGAGGCCCCCAAGACGCTCCAAGAGGGTTCCACTGGGGGGCCTTTCTCTGTGTGCTGCACACTTCTCTGATCGAGGCACTTCCTCTGGGCGTCGTTTCTGGATGGGCTGGCGGGGTAACTTTTCTGGTCGCAGCAACCAGCGAGCGCGCGAGCGGCGAGAGAAGTTGTCCGGGCCGACGGGCAAACCTAATTAGCTACTGAGCGCAGCGCGAGCCGGCCGGGCCAGCTTGCAAACGCGGCAGCTGGGGCAGCGGCTGGGGGGGTCTGGCTGGCTGAATTTGAACGCCCCGGGAAGCTCGAGCAACGTGCAGCCCCGCGGCGAAATGCTAGGGAATTCTGTGTTACGCGCTGTGGCAGCCAGCACGTGGTAAGCGATGGGCCGTCGCCAGTGAGGCGCCGAGCCCATGCCGCGCCAACGGCGCGTGTTGCCAGCTGAGCTGCCCGCCGACAAAAATGCCGAATGCCAAGCTGGTGGTGAGGGGGCCCGGAGGGCGGCCGAGACTGCGAAGGCTGAACCACTCGGAACTGGCTGTGCCTCCAGGGGCCGTCAAACCGCGCGACATGAGTAGCCGCCGATCCTGTAGGGGGCCATCCACGCACGGTTGTGCAAGCGCCGGCGGAAGGACTGCGTGAGGCCAAGCTGGTGGGGAAGAACATCGCCAGCGAGGTAGGGCGTCCAGGGTGGAACTACACGGCGGCCGCGTGGTGTGAGCTGAAGGCCACCAAGGGGCGGCCTTATCCGCCGCATCCGCCATTCCCCGCAGGGGTCCAGGGTCACCGTTGAATCCGCCATGCCACGTGGGCTTCCAGGGTCGCAGCTAACCGCCGCTGAAAGTGAGGGAACGCAACCACTGACAGCGGGGGTCCTGGGCAGCCCGGGTGGGGTGGGGACGAGAACCCCCCAGGCCAGGCGGCAAACCTGGCGGCGACCCGGCCGGGGGGGGGCCCGGAGGGTGGGGCGGCGGGGAATGGCGTCGCCGACCCCCCGCGCGGAGGGGCTCCAAAGGGGCGCCCTGCAAGGGGGGCGCAGGGAAATGGCAGCCGCGAAGGCCAAGGGCGGGGGGCGCGGCCAGGGCCCGGCCCGGGAGGGGCCCGAGGAGAGAGGCGGTGGGGGCGGACATCACCGCACCTCCAACGGATCCCAGGTGCACCTGCCCAGGGGGCACGGCCGCCATTTCCCGAGGTTCATCCAGTGTCGCAGCTATCCGCCGCTGAAAGGAAGGTAGTACCGAACGGTAGGTCTTTCGTCTGATGTTTGGCGTGGTCCAGGGTGGGCATCCTGCAGCCGGCGGACTGGCGCGCTGAAGGCTGGGCTGCCGCCGCGGAGGCCGGCGCCTATGCAGGGGCGGCGTGCGTTGGTTCATCCAGGGTCGCAGCTAAAAGCCGGTGTTCTGGCGCCTGCGGCGTGAAAAAACTGCGACCTTGCTAGGTCGAGCCCGCGACCAGGCAGGAGGGGGGGGTGCTGGGGCCCACCTCCCGCCCAGGGTCCGCGCGGCCAGCTGTCGTCATCGGACAGCAAAGTCTGGGCGCCTGGGGGGCCTGCCTGCGTGAGCCAGGCGGGCCCCGCAGGGCCAGTGATGGTGAGATGTCGGGTGCAAGTGGGGGATCCCCCAGCGGCGGGCCCGAAGGGGCGGCGGGTGGTCCAATTATCCAGCGAGGCCTGTCTAGCTAAGCTGCGCCGTGGGTGAAAAGTGGGGGTGGGCCTTCGCCCCGGCGGACAGCAGCCCCAGGCATTGCGGCCTGGGCCGGGCGCAGCGAAGTGAAACGAGCCCTTTCAGGGCCACGGGTGGCTGGAGGTGGGGGGGCCGTGGGTCCACTCTGGGCAAGTGCCTGTATCTGGATGTTGGTACGCTGAGATACGCCGTGGCGGGGGCACGTCAACCTTGGGTGTTGGAGTCGCACTTGGCCCACCAACGGGCCCGCTTCTCAAAGTCGCGGTCGCCCCCTCGTAGAGAGTATCGTTTGCCCCTGCCTTTCCAATCGGAGTCCGTCCATGGGGTATCGCGCCGCTCCCACGAGGGCCACTCTTGCCGGCCCCGCCACTGGCTGGGGGTGGCGGTTCCAATGGCTCCGGCCCAGGGGCCCTGTGCCGCTGCACGCGCAACCGCTCGGCTCTCAGCAGTCCAGGGGGCTGGCGTGTCGCGGCTGCCGTGTTCGCGTGGGGCGTGTGCGGGAGCGTCGTGTCGCACGGGGAAGTTCATGTGTCTGTTCCGAACTTCGACCTAGTCTACGCCGAGTCTGAGCTCACGATCCATCCGATATGGGTCGTAGCCAGCGTTGGCCCATGCTTCCAGGAAATCCGCGCACGTCGTGGGTGTTGAGCTTGGGGTGGCTCTTATAGCCTCCCTGGAGGTCCTGACTCAGGGCATCCTGCTTAACCCACGCATGCCAGATAGCGTTGAAGGAGCAGGGGTCTGCTTCCTCGTCCTCGTCGGCGACAGGGTCTGGGCTCGCGCTCGGGCTCGTTTCCTTGGTCGTGGCTGCTGCGGCTCCTGGGTCATCCCCCCAGTCAGGCGCATCGTGCTCGCCCTCGGTCTTGCATGCATGCCCGCACCTGCCCTGCACGTCCGTGGGCCGGTCCTTGGACCCTTCGTTGCCGGGAGTCTCGTACTCCATCCTGGGGAAGTGGCCTGGGAGTGTTTCCTGTTCCCGAAACCGGCTGTCTGGCTGGGGAGCGTTTGCTGCATCGCTGGCTCTGTTCAGCCAGCATGCTGCTGGAGTTTGCTGCGGCTGCGGCCTCCATGGCGGTCTGCACTGGGTCCGGCTTCGCCAGTGAATTGATGGTGCCGTCTGCGAGGGTCGTGGGGTCCATGTCCACGCGGTATTGCAGTAGGGTGCTGAGCCTGTGGCGGAGAGGGCAGAGGCCTCGCTGCTCATCCAGGTTGGCCGCGTGTGCCTGCCATGTGCTCGCATGCATCACATTGGCCCGCATCAGGTGGGAAACCACCCGTGCCGCTGCCGCCCGTTGGCTGTCCCATGGGATACCTGGGGGATGGCAATTGTCTGGGATCGTCTCCCCGTAGATGCTGCCCAGGAAGAGACGCAGACATTGGGGGGGCCAAGACTCTTCGTTGGTCTTCACGCCCGCAATCCCGTCGCCGTATTCCGCCACGTAGTCCACCCACCGCCCGTAAATAATGGGGTTCCACTCGAGCAGGAACTGGACCAAAGAGCGCAGGGCGCTATGGCACTCCTGTCCTGAGAGTTCGGAGGTGAATTGGGTTGGTAGGGCGGGCCCCGAAGGCGGGGGAATATAGGGAACAGGGACTTGATGTCCCGAGTCCCGGCAATCCATCCTTCGGCGGGGGTCGCTGGTTTTGTGTAGGCGTCTGGTGCTGTGGCGTCGGCGCAGTCTGGGGTGAGGTAGACGGCGATGTTGTGGCGCTCAACTTCCACCTCCGTCGTCGCCTCCCGCTTGACTGGTGCCGTGGGGTAGATGCGCGAGGACTGCTGGTCGAGGATGTAGTCGAGCGTACCTGGGGCCACGCTCCAGATGGCTGATGGGTAACGTGAAGCGTCAAGAATTGCAGCAGACGCGCGCAACCAACCAGCCAGAAACCAGCCCAAACCAGTTGCTAAGAATGTGTTTAGACAACATGCCACTCCGCCGAGTTGCCAGTCAGCCAACCACATACCACCATACTAAACAACCGAATATATCAGTGCTAGAGACGAACCTGGGCTGAACCTGGAGCTGGGGCTGGCTGGAGCTGGGGATCGGGTTGGAGCTGGCGTTTGAACTGAACCTGGACCTGGGACTTGAACTGGGGTAAGCTTGAGCTGGAACTGCTGGTAACATGAAGAGCATCAGCCGCTAGAAGGTTGGCTCCGAACGTTCGAAAGCAGGCCTGGGAAAGGAGTAAGACGAAGAGCACCAAAACGCTTGAATTTTGGCACCAAATAGTGAAGAACGGCGACGCGGCAGTGTTGACCCCGGGTGATCAAAACGAATCCAGGGAACTGAGTGCTGGCTCGTGGAGAGCCACCTTCCTATACACTAAGATCGGCTCTTCATAGTCAGAATCAACACCGCAAAAACGAAGATCTGGCCCGCAAGCTGTAAAGGCTGAAAACCCCGATGGTCAGAATCTTAATCGGGCCCGAGAATGGAGTTCTGGCAACATCAATGACCCGGCCTCGCCCAACTGCCTGGTCCCAACCGGAAGTAGACGTGAAGAACCCTCTCGGACAAGCCTACTTTGGGGACACAACGCGTTCATCGAATCTTGATGCTCCTCTCGACGGCGACCGAGGGCCAAGCCGCTTCAGAAGCCGCGCGCCCTCGGGGGTCGGCTAAATCGCTCTCGCTAGATAGATATGTTTTGTTTCTTGCGCCGCACCGCGTAGACGGTCGCCTCGCCGAAGCTCATCTCGACCGGGATCTGTGCGGATCCGTTCACCTCGATGGGCTCGAAGCCCCCGAGCTCCTCCCCGAAGAAAGCGTCCATGGTGACAACCCGCGCGCCGGGCTTCAGGCGCAGCGCCAGCTCGGCCAGGGCGGACACAGTCTCTGGAAGAAGAGAAGACTGCTTAAACATGAACTTTTTGCGCTCCGCGCGGATTTCTTGGATCTGCGTTGGGCCCCCCTCCCTGGCGCGCGGAGCGCGCCAGGGGCGGCGCCAGGGGCGGCGCCAGAGGCGCCGCCAGAGGGCCCCTGCGCGGATCCAAGAACTCCGCGCGGAGCGCCAACAGTTTATGTTTACGGTGTTTTCTTGTTCTTCGAGTCTCTGGCTGCAGGCACAAGGTGGCGATCCAGACGATGTCGGCGTGCGCCCAATCGTCGGGCGTTGCTAAAGGTGCCCCTGGCCCACTGTGCTCCCAGCCTTTTCGCTCCGTTTTGAGGCCCCTGGGGCCCTCTGGGCCTCGTGAGGGGGTTCGCTGGAGGCCGTGGAGGCCTCCCTGGAAATCCTGGGGGCTCCTCGGGCCAGGGGCACTTCTACACCCAGACATGCGACGTCCTGATTGTTTTAGGACGGCGTCCCTGGAAGTCCCACCCTTGCCCCGAGAACGGTTTTTCGTCCTGAGTCGTCTTTCGACAGTCCCGAGGTCTGGCGAGGGCCCCCGAGAATTACCAAAAACCTCACGTCCTGACTATTTTACGACGCGATCATGCCTGGGTAGCAGCACCCGAAATCGGTGCTCAAGAAGTCCGCTGCCCGGAACTCCACCGCCGCGGAGCGCCCAGCCAGGCCCAGGGCCCCCGCCCGCGCGAGGGCCGCGAGCGCCGCGCCGTGCAGGGCCTCCACCAGCTCTAGGCCCAGGCAAAGCCGAAGCTCGGGGAAGGCCACGGCTGAAGAAAATTAGCGGGCGAAGCACCCTGAGATCCTGGCGACTCAACTTTTTCGAGCCGGGCAATTTTGCTCCATTTTGGGCCCCGGGACCCTCACAAATCGAGCCGGCTCGAATAATGGCGCAGAAAGATGGGGTCTGGGGGTCTGGTCGTGATTTTTTGCGATGTTGCATCGTTTGCAACGTCGGATCTCAGGGAACGGTATAAAGTAAACTTTCTCGCTGTCGGGGGCGCCGTGTCCCAGGAAGGCTGGAAAGTTTGCCCTTGCCATGGCACGTCAGGGTATAAACTTTTCAGCCGCCCTGGGGCAACGCCCTCTCTGACGGAACAAAAATTATACCGTTCTTCGCCTGCTAAGAAAAAACGCTACAAACATTCACTTTTGGCGCTGCGCGCGGATTTCCTGGATCTGCGCTGGACCCCTGGCGCGCGGAGCGCGCCGGGGGGCGGCGCCGGGGGGGTACAGCGCAGATCCAAGAAATCCGCGCGGAGCGCCAAAAGTTTATGTATGTAGCGTTTTTTCTTCTTCGGATGGCGGTGGCGAGCACCGCGCGCCCAGTGCCGCTGCCCAGGTCCACGAACACCTCCCCGGGCTGCGGGGCGACAGCCCGCGCTAGCGTGCGCCACCAGGGGTAGAAGTGCACCTCCCCGTACGTGAACTCGACGTCGGCCTCGCGGCTCATCTGTTTCCGACCCTCGAAAGACACCTGCTCGCCGTCGATGCCCTCGTACGTCGCGTAGAACATCCCGTACATGTCCCGCAGCCGATGGGTCGGCAACTTAGATCCCTCGTCTTCGAATCGCAACGAAACTACAAAATCTCGGGCGGGTGGTACTGGGGGGTGACCTACATGGGGGGTGAAGACAGGGGCCCTAAAGGGTCACGTCAAGGGTCCCCTTTTGGAGCCAGCGGGGGCCCCAAAGCGCCCTTTTAGCGCCCTTGTTTTCGCTCCCGATTTGGGTCACCCCCCATGACCACCCGCCCGAAAATCGCTAGCCTTCACAGCTTCACCGGCATCGTACGCGAAGAGCGGCTCGAAGTCTACGCCGTGGAACTCTGGGCGGTCCGCCGGCAGCGGGGGCGCCGCCCCCGAGTGCAGCAACACCACGGGCTCCACGCCCCCGAAGCAGTGCCAGTAGCGCGTGTCCACGCGGCAGCGCCAGCCCAGCGAGCCAGCAACCTTCCCCGCCGCCCAATGGAACGAGAGGTCGTCCGTAGAAGAAGAAAAAACGGTACAAAAACAAACTTTTGGCGCTCCGCGCGGATTTCTTGGATCCGCGCTGGGCCCCCCTCCTTGGCGCGCGGAGCGCGCCAGAGGCGGCGCGGGAGGCGCCGCCGGGGGGGGCCACAGCGCGGATCCAAGAGATCGGCGCGGAGCGCCTAAAGTTTCTGTTTATGCCGTTTTTTCTTCTTCGACGAGAGGTCGTCCAGCCGAGGAGCCTTCCCCGACTTCGAGACGAGCAGCGAGGCGTCCCAGGTGCCCCCCGCTGGTAGCGCCACCTCCAGCACGGCGCTCCCGCGGCCCAGGCCGGACGTGTGGAGGTGCAGGATCCGCGGCCGCGAGGCGTCTTCGGGGGCCTGCAGGCTGTCTGGCAGACTTTCCTGTACTCACGACGTCGATCAGTCCCCCCCCGCTCGCTCGCACGACGCACCTTTGATCGGTGCGTGTGGGGGCTGGTCAATTTTTAGTCAACGCTCCGTTGCCGATGCGCCGTCTGGGCGCCTGGCTTCTCTGTCTTTGACTGCTCCATTGGGGAGCATCCGTGTTAAACGTGTAGGACCCCTCAAAGCTCTCCTGAGTTGAGCCTGAAGACGGCCCCGCGATGGACTGATGATGCCAGACGACAGCTTCTTCAAGATGCTTCAAGACCAGTTCAAGGCGGTTCAATCACGCCCACAGACTTCAGGACATGCCCAAGAGGCCCTAGAATCCAAAGACCCCACAAGAAGCAGTCAAGGAGACCTGGGGCTGGGCCCTAGGTTCCGCACATGCTGGCACAAAGGAACTCAGCTGGTTCCCCAATTGAGTGACGGAAAGGTACAAGTCTTCCGCGAGACGAGCGACGTTACGCGGTGGCTCACGCGGGCTGCCAAGGCGGCAAGGCACACTGGAAACGAGGACGCTGATGCGCCATCCTACGCGGGCAACTCACGCGCGAACGTCGGCACAACCGACCCCGTGTTCTTCCGTCGCCCAGCTGGTGCTTGCCCTGCAAAATTCTGCCTCACTCGCGTTCCAGTGGGTTCGCCCTGGCTGCCGGGCTCTGGCGACGGGCACGGGCTGGGCCCTTCGCGGTGCCACTCCCGCTCCCCCAACATGGCCCCGGTTGCCAGGGCTGGCGGTGGGTGCCAACAACTCTGGCACTACGACGAGTCCTGCACTGCAACGACTCCGCCTGCGATTCCGACCGCAGTGTTCAGTCGCATGCATCCCGTGTCAGCATGCTCCAGACCAGTCTGGCCCCCTGTCAGCCGAAACACGAGGGCTCAGCTGAGGCGTGCGCTGATGAGGGCTGAGCTTGTATTCTTGCTGTCGTATCTCTCCTCCAACCTTTTCTGTCTGTGTTGCGACATTCACGTGTTGTTTCACTACGCTAATTGTTTATGGTATGATTGGCTCAGTCTAAGCTGTTTGCGCCAGTTCGTAGTGGTGACATATTGCTCCCCTTTCAAATGCTCCCCATGGGTTGCACCAAATACGCTGCACTCCAGAAGTTGCAACCCACAAGTTGCACCCCATCCGTTGCGCCCAATGGGTCGCACCCGTACGTTGCATAACATCTTCGCGCCCCATCCATCCAATAAATACACATCAATTTCAAGAATTTGCTGTCTTGCGTCCACACGCTGGCTCTATATTCGGCGGCGAGCGAGGGGAGGAAACGAGACGGGGCGGGCCTGCTCAGAAGGCTCGGACGTCCCCCAGCCTTCTGAGAAATGTTCTAAGCCTTCCCCGAAGACACAGAGAACCTCTCGGAAGGCGAGAGGGCTTCTGAAAAGTCTCCCGCCACCTTCCGAGAAGGCCTTCTCCTTCTCACGTCCCCCCCTCGCTCGCCGCCGATCCTTGTTTTAACCCATGATCAATGGTGGGATCAGGAAGGCTTCTTTCGGACAGAGAACTCCCACCCAACCCCCAGCACGGCCAAAGACGATCAAACAGATCCCAACAACAACTCGACAGCACTCAATAAGGCATACGGCCAAGACCACCCCAAGAAGGCTCCAACAGGGCACGCCAACATGGTCTTACCAAGCCCAGTCTAGACAGATCGGCAGAGACGTCGAGCCCCAAACGGCCCAAGTCTCTCAACCGGCTCCGAGGAAGATTCCCAGAACCCCCGAGAGGCATCGGGGAGGGCGCCCCCAAGATATCCCAACGAAGCTCCCAAAGAACCTCCGAGAAAACTGCAAGGAAGAGCCGTGCCATCCGTTTTGCCAAGCGCTGGCACACCTCCAACCTTAAATGGCCACGCCACAGGACCATCCAACCGTGGCCGCGCCCGCAGCAGCCTCGTAGCGCTGCGCCCCAGGCGGCCCATCCGTGATGGCTCTACCGAGCCTGCTCGGGAGAGCTCGGCAGAACCACGGCGCTGCTGTGGTGGCGGACCTTGCCGCAGGCCGCCGGATAACGTCCCCATCCCACCTCCCATGGAGCTGCTCGCCAAGGCGGAGGTGCCAGGTGGCCGGCTACACGCAAGAGTGACGTTGAGGAAGAGTGTGACTGTTGGTGCGCGATTGTCCGATCAGTGTGACGGTGGCGGCTCGGGTGCTTTGGCTGGGCCCCCCTGGCCCAGCCGCAAGCCGCGGTCCCAGGTCACCAAGAGAAGATCAGCCAAACATCCTTGGGAGGGGCCGAGCCGTATGCAACAAGCAGGACATGTTCCCCTCCCCTGAGGAGCTTCGCAACCAGGGCCTTCTGTGGAGCTCCCTATGGGGCCACGAAGCGTGTGAGTGCTGTGCCGAGATTGGCGGCAAGGACGTATGCGAACATGCCCACTTGGGCTTTCGGTGAAACTCTGGGGCCACGAAGCATCTGAGGGGTGTGCTGGGATGGGCTGCAGGGACGCATGCGGTCTTTCCCGCCTACGGTGGAGCGCCCTATGTGGCCACGAAGCATGTGAAGGGCTAGCCGATACGGATGCAAACATGCCCACCGGGGCTTCGGTGGAACTCAATTTGGGGCTGCAGCGCGTGTAAGTGGTATGCTGACATGGGCGGCAGGATCGCATGCGAACATGCCCACTGGGGCCTTCGGTGAAGCTCCCCATGAAATCACGAAGCGTGTGGCGTGTGTGCCGAAATGCATGTCCGGAATGCATGCGAACATGCCTACAAGGCCCTTCGGTGTAGCTCCCTGTGGGGCCACGGAACGTGCGCATCTGATGATGGTAATATATTGATGGTGTTGTTGTTGATGATGACGATGATGCTGGGGATGAGTATGATGAAGATGATGAAGACGATGATGCTGCTGCTGCTGCTGCTGATGATGATGATGTTGATGATGATGATGATGATGATGATGATGATGATGATGATGATGATGATGAGAGGCCGCCGCGAGACCAGGTTTTTGAGGTGCGGCGGCCTCCAGGAGGCACCCCAACTCGCCGTAGGCTCTAGGGGAGGGGGCCTCTTGCCATGGCGACCGCGCTCGGAGTCGCGCCGCAGCATGTGCTCCAGCAGCGGCAGCGACGGGCGTCGCGGTGATCAGTGACCACAACAGACCATGGCGAACGACATCGACATCCCTACCGACGTGCAGCTGAGGCCCTTCAGCACTTACTGAATGGCACACAGGATCAGCCTTGGAGGCTTAGAAATGGGCACCAACACCAACACCGAGGGTTGCCTCCACCGGGGGCAAATGATCCTAGCTGTTGGTGTTGGTGGTCATATTCCGGCCACCTTGGAAGCCCGAATATTACCACCATCACCGAGATCGGGATCATCTTTCCTCGTTGGAGGCACACCGCCGACATTGGTGTTGGCGTCAACCTCCAGGCCTCCGACAACCCACATACGATAGCGACGGCAGCGACTCGCGCCCTTGGCCTGCGGACGAGCAGGACGACGCCTCTACGGAGCCACTTCCCGGCGAAGTCCGCGGGCGCTTGCGCTTGCCGTGCAGCCCGTACCAACAACAGGTGCTCGGGAACTGCCTCCGCCTGGGGTGCGGCTGCAACCAAACCTTGACCACGATCTGCGCCCTGCCGATCAGTCACGGCCAGACCTCGAACTTGACCTGCGCTCACCAGATCAGTTACGGCCGTACCTTGAACACGACCTGTGCCCAGCGGGCCAATTACGGCTGGCGGCCAGACCTTGAACATGCCTTGTGCCCTGCAGATCAGCTACGGCCAGACCAAGAACGAGCAGTGCGCACTGCCGATCAATTCCTGCCAGACCTTCAACATGAATTGCCACCAAGAGATCAATTGCACGGGCCCGCCGACGGCGAATCACCTGCTGATGATCGATTCCGTCCTCCACGTGGTGCCAGTGAAAACGCGGGCCGTGGGATCTGTGATTCTGCACCCGAAGGCGCCGACCTTACTAGTACGACTATCTCGACCAAACCAATTGCGGCAGGAGAGCCCATAATCGAATCGACAAGTCGGATCAGCGATCGAAACGAATCGGATCGGCGGAACTCGGCAACCGAATGGGGAGAAGTCGAATCGGCGGGAATCGGCAAACCAATATGCCTCCAATAAGGAATCGGAATCCACATCGGAATCCGACATCGAATCGAATCGGAATCGGAAACCATCGAAATCGAATCGAATCGAATCGGAAGAATCGCAGCGAGCCCCGCTGCGGTCCTTCGGAGGGAACCCGTTCGCGCTCAAGGGAGCGCCAGGCCGCCTCGACGCCACCAGTGGCACCTATCAAGCAGTGTCAGGCGCTCTCCTGATGATGGGCACCAAAATTCGCCAACCCACACGAGACGCTCCACATCACGTTTTAGTCAGGCCTGTCCCTCCACAGGGGGAATCTTCAGAAATAGTAGAAAGTCAGTGGGCGATTTGTTGAACATGTTTTTGATACTTTTTGAGTATTGTTTGAAGATGTTCGATTTTCGTCGAAAATTTGCCTGTAGGGGGACATGCCCGACTCAACATCACGTCGAGAGCTCGGTTGCGCACCACTGGATCACCTTCGGCTTGGGGCGAGGACCACATACCAACGCATCGGGAGGCTGCAGCATCGCCCTCGCCAAGAAGCACTGCAGACGCACCGACATCGCCAACATTCTCTACCCTGGACCCGATCTTCGAGAGCGATGAGGAGTAATTAGTCGAAGTACATCGGGGCGCTCGCCGCATACGATACATCGTTGCCTACCTCGCGCCACGACCTGTTGGACGAGAAGACACACAAGCATGGACATATGGATGCACTCGCCTTTGGAAATGGCTCATACGCGTCACAACCACGTGCCCGAGGCGAGTACTTCTGAGAGCATGCACGGACCTTAATCAGAGCTTTGGCTACCACTCCAAGCGGTCAATCACCGACGATTCAGTCGGCAAGTTCCAACCTGGTGACGAGAGAGACTTCGGCAGGTAAGTTCACACGCAGCTCCAGCACCACGAACTCAGCGCCATCAACACACACACACACAGCGAAGTAGGCCACACACATACTACGGACCCAGGCGGTCAAAATCCAGGATTGACGACGTCATCGGTCACGAGAACCTCCAGGAGCTGGTCCGCAGCATCCGACTTGATTGGCGTGCGCATCGACGAGCACGCGGCCTGTATTACGTCCCCGACCACATCCCGATG